GAGAGAGAGAGAGAGAGAGAGAGAGAGAGAGAGAGAGAGACAGGCAGAAAGTTGACAGAGAGGGGGATTTACAGGCCGAACAGCTGGAATCTCCTATCCTCTCTAGTATTAGGTGTGGAGTTGAGTACCTCTGTTGTGTATGGAGGAGGGTTATCCATTGCAGTTCTAGTATATTCTGCTGGGGGATTCGTTCAGTGGCCCAGTGGCATGGAGACAAGAATGAAGAGACGGTGTGAAGAGAAGTAGAAAGTGTAAATACTAACTCATTCTCTTCTGTTTCAAAACACAATAGCGAGCCCAAAATGCTCCCTTCATGTATTAATAGCTATTTGCCTATTCTGGATGAAGGTCCTCTCTCTCTGATGAGAATTCCTTAATGAGGGTACCATTTGTCTAAAATATAGAAGGTGAGTGAAATTCAGATATTCTATTTTATACATTTTTTTGCTAGTGGAACGATAACGTTTTCTAGAATAGTCACACATTTTAGGTTCTTTCTTTTCAGAAAAATAAAAACGGCCAACATAACATTTTTTTCCTTTTCTAACTTTTTCCCTCAAAACTGGTGTAAGGGTTGACTCGATAGATATAATTGCAGTGATATGTTTGGGAGACACTGACTTCTAAAAGTTCAAGTAATTGTAATGCCGTCTTGAGTGTTCATGTGAAAAGTTTCACTTTCACATCAGAATCCCTAACTTGCACTGACATTATGTAAGTGACGATACATCTGCCCCTACATGTCACATTTCTTTTAATGTGGACACAAAAATTTATCAAAAATGTAACAAAACTCTTTGTTTTCTTTCACTTGTGTCTACCACCTTCATAATCTAAGATGGAGAATGTGAGAGACTAAAGATATTTATGTCATTTCTTCTGGTCAGTAGACAGCTTCTTTACTGTTGTACAAACAGAGCTGAAAGGACTCCGTAGAGCAGTTTTAAAAGCCATAAAGCAAGAAAGATGCTTCAGGCATTTGCTGTGGGAGAAAGTCAAAGTATGTTATAAATTCTGTTTCACTCTGAATTTACTGGAAGATTCATGCCAAAGTGTCGGAGACATATTACCCATTTTTATGCAACTTTCTAAGTGTTCAGTAAAAATTAATCGTGGAGTATCTCATGGTTTCATCTCCACTTATTTCACAGGTTCTTCGTCCTCTGCCCACACTTTGAAATGTTTGGATTTCCCAGGGCCCAATCTCAGTTTCCTGTTCTCTTAGTTTAGAATCATCTAGTTCTAACCATTCCAAAGGCCTCTAGTCTCAGCCTCTAACTCCACTAAATCTCTTTAGCTCCAGACCTGTAATTCCAACTGTCTACTGTCTTCTCAGTTAGATGTTCCAGAGCACTTCCAACCTGACAGAGTCAAAAGTTAAGTCTTGACTTCCCCACCTAAGCCTTGCTTCGCTCCTCATATTGACTCTCTCTCTCCATCTCAGTAAATGGCCTCCTAGTCAGTCACCCATGCTTGAAAGCTGTGGAGTCATCATTGGGTCTTTCATGATGAAAACTGAATTACATTATATCTATGTTTAAAAATATTTAAACGACTACAAAATATCCACCACACAGTGTTCAAAACCGAACCATGATGTGGCAGATGCTGTCCATTGATTATGCAATATTATCCTCCCTTATCCTTGCCCATTTTGATTACATTTCCAGGTATAAGGCAGAGGCCCCTTGATTTAAGAGAAACAAGGACCTTCCATAAGCCCATGGAAATCCCATCTCCCTTCGGTCCAGAGGACATGTTTCCCAGTTCTGACACACCTAAATGAAAGGGAGACTCTAATGGGCCCTGAGGCCCAGAACTATCATAGTCACCTGGTGATTATGAAAAAACAGTCAGTATGGTTAGCAGAAAAGGAGAAGTAGAAGGATAGAAAATTCCTGGGTCTTCGATGACTCATGAATGGTTGCAAAACACCATGAGGCCGCCTACCTTCAGATTGGGTTCTATGGAGGCTGACAAATGTCGTTGTTACTTAAGCCACTGCTAATTGGTACTTTGTGGCTAAACACAGTTCTATTTGATACACAAAGCCCTTCAGAACTTTTACTACCTGGCTCCAACTTACTCTGCAGTTCCTTTGGTCAACCTTCCCCCACCCTTCACGCTAAACACACTAGATTCCATCCATAGAACTTTAGGTTTTCATCCAGAAGGAAGGCTTTTTTCTTCTCTGTCAACTTATGAGCAGCTCTTGATGTTTTAAGCTCTAGTTCAAACATTATATCCTCAAGCAATTATTATTTTATCCACCAAAAGCCTCTGATTGCTCTTGCTGAAATCATACCCTCTCAAGAAAAGTGAATTGATTTCTGTTTCTCATATTACAATAAAACCTTGGATTGCGAGTCACTTGGTTTGTGAGTGTCCCGCAAGATGAGCAAACATTTCTAATACATTTTAATGTGGTAAACGAGCAATGTCTTGCAATATGAGTAGTTTGTTTCCAGAACGAATTATGCTCGCAAACCAAGGTATTACTGTATTTGTGTATAATACCTTACATTGCAATGACCATCAGTCTGTCTTTCACTTGACTTTGATCACCTAAATGTGAGGATGTCTTGTTCATCATTGGGTTCCCAGATCCTAGAACACTGGCTATTACATCATCAACACTCAGATAATGCTTCTGTTTTTTTAATAAAATATATCTTTGGCCAAAATAGGGGCAGCGATTGCCCACGTTTTTTGGTTAGAACTGGTACAAAGTTAGATAATTATGTTTTTAACACTATTAATAAACTTAAAGCTAATCATAATTCCAATTGAATAGTCATATCAACCACCTTTGAGAGTGTTTTGTTTTGTATTCCCTACAAAATACTGTTTGTTCATTTTGTTTGACAAAATGCAAAGATATCTTCTTTTAACATATACAACTACAGCTATGATACTTTACTATCAAAATATATATTTTTACATTTCTGCTAAATTCACATAATAGTCCTTCTTCCAGATTTGAACTCATGTCGTTAACTTGCTTATCCACAGGATACATGGCATGGCTGCATTGCCAACACTTTGTTATATTTTTAAGTCTGGCGGAGCTATTGCTCTGCCTCTGCCTGGGTACTATTCTAGAAACAGCCCTCACCAAACACCGAGATCATTCTTCCGGTTTCAGTTTTAACTTGTGCATGACTGTCAGAGAGATCACAGGCTAAACTCATGTAAATTGCTTTCCAAGATGAGTAGAAAAGGGAAAAGGAGATCAAATGTATGGTGATGGAAGGAAAACTGACTCTGGGTGGTGAGCACACAATGTGATATACAGATGATGTATTACAGAATTGTACACCTGAAACCTATGTAATTTTACTAACCATTTTCACCCCATAAATTTAATTTAAAAAAAAGATGAGTATCAGAGTTGAAAAAAACATTAAAGGATTGGCCTTTTATTCAGAGCCCTAACAGTATTAGGGAATAGAAACCTGAGAACTACAAGAAGCTGCTTGATTATTTGTTGTTTATTTCAATTGACATCTCTTCCTGAGTCCATCATGTATGAGTCAGTTCAAGCAAATATATGCTGCTTTTTAAAAACTGAACTTGAATAACATTTATCTCTATTAATGATGCAAAATGACAACTGCAGATATTCATTTCAAATTGAAAGGTATAGTAGGTGATCATTTTCTAACTGTTTTGACTTAGATTTGGAAACAGGTAGCACCACACCCAGTTCCCAGTTACTGTCTTCAGTTCACCACTCCAGATGCCTCAATATCTCCTCTCTCTACTGCCTGCAGATCATCTTTGTTACAGTTTTATACCAATTTTACTTTTTGTTAATTTTTTTCCAGTAGCCTAAAATCATTTTTGAAGCACAGGAGGCATAAACTTTCAATCAGTTAAACTTCATAAGTAAAAACTGCGCTAGGTGAGGACTCTAGATATTTTAGATGAAATTTAGTACAAGATGTTTCAAGTTGCCAGGACTGCTCCAAGAATTGCCATTTACTTCTCTATTGTCCCTGTGAAAAATGTTCCCTGGAGTGGTCCAACATACTGTTACATCTCTGTGTGGGAGGGCTATCTATGCCGTCCCTATGAGTAGACAGAAATACCTGTGGTTGTGGTTCTCCAAGTGATAACTGCATGAAAACAGTTTCTAGAGACATGAGGAATTACTGCCCGGGAGATTCTTGTCGTCCTTACCTGAGCCGTGGTTTCCTGCTAACAAGGTGGGGCTCACAGAGCATCTTCCCATTCTACTGGTGACCACAGGTGGCCCTGGTGTTCCATCCCATTCCTGAGCTTTGACAGGCTCTCTGGAAGATGCCCCATGATGTCCTCTCTCTTTGCTGTCCAGCTTTGGTAATGGCTCCGTGCTGTGACTTCGCACTTTCAGCTCCTCTGTGGATTCTGTGTATGAACCAAAATTACATTCCATTAAACAAAAGTCAAATCCATCCCAGATTCCTTTAAAAAACGAAAGAACAATTTTCTTAGATGCTTCCAATATATTTTTGGAAATCTAGGTATGTGTTGGCCATTGTACCATTTAAATATAACAGGGCCGGAGATCACACAGGGCCTTTTTTTTCTGAGGAGTGCAGGTTAATATCACTGGGAAATAGTTTTCTCTTTGGAAGAGGGGAAGGTCAGTGCATCCTGAGCCTTCGTTAGTGACTTCCCTCTGCTCATCTTCAAGGAAACTTTCTAAAGAGCACTTTACACTCACTCTCTTTACTGTCTCATGTTTCCTGGACTTCACTACCCACAGTGATATGAAGTCAACCTAGTCACTGCACTAAAACTGCTGTTGCTAAGATCACCTAATGCCTTTGAGTTGGCAGATTTAGAAGACATTTTTAAGCCATTTGACAACTCCATGACTATGCTCTTATTTACATCTTCAATTCTCTTGGCTTCACTGATGGCCCATTTTCCTGTGTTGTGTTCTATGTCTAACGCCATTTCTGTGTCATCTATAACTTTTCTTCTTCCACATGTCCCTTACGTGATGGCTGTCCTCAAGGCACAAGCTTAGCCACTTCTCTTTGCATCTTATCCTTCTGTGATTTTATCTTCCAGGGTTCAACTAGCAATTGAAACATAGGGATTTCTAAATATTGTATCATAATCTTGGACCATTCTCTGGAGCTTTAGCTTAAGATATCCAACTGCCTGCTGGACGAGTCCCCATGGAAAACAAACTCAGCGTTTCAGATACTGAACTGACACCATATTTTACTAAACTAATGGTTCCTTCTGTCCAGCCAAGCATCCAGCTAGAAGTCAGCAGATTCTGCAGATTTTATTTCTGAGTATCTCGTTCTGTCTTCTGTTCCACTGTGTATCCTGTGTACCTCATCTTCTCTGGTTCAAGCTCTAATCACCACCCTTGAGTTATTACAACTTGTGTCCTGGACTCCCCCAAGTACAAGCTCCATATGCTGCCAAAATGACCTGTTTAAAATGCAAATACGATCCAGTATTATTTCAGGGAACAGATGTGATAGCCCTTCTGTAGGCATGTACAGAAGCGTTCAGAAACACATGTAATTGAGATGGTTTTAAGAGTGCTCCCCACCTTGCTACCACAAGAACACTGTTATTTCAGGGGATAGCCATTCTGGAATGCACATAGAGAGGTGTTAAAAAAAAGTGCATATCTACTCATAATGTACCCCTGACTAAAACCCTTCCAGAAACGTCCTGCTATCCCCAGAATTATGTCTAAGCTCTTTGTTGTGATCCACAAGATTCTTTACCATTTCTTCCCTTCCTCTCTATCTCTGTCACTTCCCACCTGGACACGGTATTCAAGAAACATCACTAAGTAGATTGTAGCATTTTCTCCTCCACTCCACCTCCAGCGAAAATGATGCTGTTTTCTACAGTTACTGGGCTCTACTCTATGGCTACTGTCGCCTACCTCGTCTGCTTTGAACACCCTTATGGCCTGTCTGCTCAGCTAACTTCCCTCAGCCCTGGCGTATGTGGTCATCTAAGCAAGGACATTGTCTTGTATTATCATTCTGTGTATTCGCTTGTCTCAAAAGGCCCTGGGTTCTTTAAAGGCAGGGTCTGAGTTTTGGTTTTACTTTTATTTATTTATTTATTTATTTATTTATTTATTTATTTATGTATGTATTTATTTATTTATTTATATTTTTAATTTGATGCCTCCAGTATCCCAAACATATTACTCAATAGCTATTTGTTTAATTAATTAATTAATTAATTAATTAGATTTCTTAATTCTTCTGGCATCTTTCTGATGTGTGTAGGAAATACATTCCTAAAGGAACAAGAAAATCAAGAAAATGCAGGTTATAAATGTATTAAAGTGGTGCAGAGCTAATATTGAAAATAATATGCATTGAAAAACATAGAAAAATACATCATCACATTCCCGACGACCCAATAGTATTTTCAGAAATCTGATTATCTAACAGACACAAATTGTAAAATTCACCAGATTGAAAGTTTAATGCAAACAAGGGAACTTTGAGAAAAACTGTAGTGAAAAAAATAAATAAATCACAGAAATGATTCACTGAATATATATATTTTGCACACAGGTTCAAGTACTCATCAAAATGCAGTATGATAACACAAATGTCACATTTTGATTCCCAATTACCTGAAACTGTGGGGCAGACACAGAACTTGCTGTAGCACCATCAGCAGCCCTGGGTGAGGAATGGGAAAGGCCCAGCTGTGCAGCCCTGGCCGTAGTCTCAGGCTGGCGACCCATGTCACTGAGCACTTGGTTTCTCCTTTCAGAATCTCTCATTTTTCTTAACTACAATATGGAGATAATACCAGCACTGCCTAACTTCCTCATTTGAAGTGGCAGGATCTAATAATATTCTACATCCTAAGAAATTTTGAAAACTAAAATGTGCTATACATGTAAAAAGTAGCATTAACTTAAATTAATTATAGCCATTTGTCCTTTATGAATTTATTTTCATCTCTCTACATTTGGACTAGATAATCATCGAGAGACTGAATATACACATGAGAAATTGCCAGGCCACATATAAAAATAGGACTCTAAGCCATTATCTAGAGTAACCAGCCCAGGAAGCCAGCCTACTCTCTTTAAGTCAGACTTCAGAAAGTCAGACCACTATCTCTAGCAACCAATCCAGGAAGCCAAACAATAACCTGTGTAACAATTGCCTCAAAACAGCCAGTACTTTTGGCCCAGCTCCCAACAGAGGGCTAAACGAAGGAAGTCAAATATGTAGCCAAAATTAATCACATAGGCTGCCCTGCTTCTAGTTAGCCTACCTACAGCTTTTCCAGGCCAACAGCCTCCATTTGGGGCATATCTGAAGCTTTCTCTTTTCCCACTAGAAAGCTTTCCTACTCTCCTCCCTGCCAAGTGTTAAGTGGTGGTAGCTGACTGTCGTGCTATCGTGAGCTCTGAATCAATAGCCATTGCCTGTTCTCATTCATTTGGTCTTCACGTACTTCCACAATACTATTGTACCATCCAGCTCCAAGATGCTGTGCAGTTGTGTAAACACACATCATGTGTGTCATTCTATGAGGTAGAACTTAAACCACA